TTGAAAGCCGATATCGCCGAGAGGCTCGCGGAGGCAAGGAGGAAGTTCGAAGCCGATTCCTTGGCTGTTTACGAGGAAATCTGATTCTGGTTTCTGAGTGTTTGAATTTGGTTCTTGATTGATTGATTGATGTTAGGGGGTTTAGCACAGTGATTTGGAATTTGAAAATCTTGTAGATTTTCTTGACGAATGTCAATGGTGTAAATAAATAAGGGCTTATTTTTTGAGTGAAAACTCAAAAAAGACAAACTCGAGTTATAATTTTATTCAGGTTCATATTTTTTTAAGTTTAAACTCGAGTTTAAATTTAAGTTTAAGATTAAAACTCGAGTTCAAGTTTTCCCTTCAACTCGAGTTCAAAAACTCGAACTCAAATTAATGAACAGTAGTTTTTCTATTATTAAAAATGCTATAATTTTTTCGTTTTAATTCTGATTGAGATGATTTTTTTTCTATGTGTCGACAACAAAAAGACGAATAAAACCCGACTCATATACCATATTAAAATTTTTCATCAGCATTGAGTTTTTATTAAAATACTATCTAAATATAAATTCAAGTTTTGACTCACTCAAACATAAACTCAAAAATATTCTTATTTTAAATCATAACTCAAATGTATACAACCAAACACAAACTTAAGTTATAAATTCAACTCAAGTTATAACTCAAATTCAACTCAAGTTAAACTCCAAAAGAACGAGCCTTAAATCTTTGGAAACTGTAAATTCTTACTACAATTTTTTCATTCTTTTCTTCTTTTCTCAATATCGTATTATGGTTAATAAAGTATTCTTTTATCTCAAATATATTTTTATTTTCCCGGAATCGATTTGGGAAATAAAAAAAGAAGAGCAAAAAAAAAAACTCTATCATAGAACCAGGGAACGTTATTATTCTTCCAAGAGATGAACCTTCTTCATAAATTTGTTAATGAGTGGAAACAATCGATTCTTGACTATTGAGCAACAAATTCAATTCAAAGCGTGACAAAGAGAAAAAAGCATAACACTGAAAAAAAAGGGTCAGTTGTCAGTTACAATCTCGTTTGAATGTCAACCTTTGGTTGTATGTGGGCCCTACAGTTAGAAATACACGTGGCCAACTAGAAATGACACTCTAGATTGAATGTAACAAAGGGCCAGCAAATCAGCTATATCAAAACTTTAAGAATTCATTCGCTCTAGTTGAGAATTTGGGTGAAAAGTTGTCAAAACTCAAAAAGGCTCAAATTGTCTTGTATGGCGCAGAAAGAGGAAAATGGAGTTTTATGTAACAGGATCTAACTGTTGTTGATGAACCCATTTGCCGTAATCTTGTAATAGTTGTTGCAGGAGCAATGGCACCAGCCTATCCAATAGAGCTTGTAGCATTCTGTTGTATGCCATCATAATTCCATTTCATTAACGATAGTTCATACTTGCTTGCGATTGCATATCGATAACATTAGCGGTTATTTATGTTTAAAAGTTATAGAGAACAGTAAATTAAGTCTAGATGAACAGTAAACCAGAGCTCTCCTTTAGTATATTTATAATATTTATTATGAAAAAGTGTGATTCAACCCGCAGGTTGAGTCCCACGTCTCTCACTTGGGTTGGGCTCCTCATGTGAGAGACCCAAGTCCAACCTTATCGGGTTGAACATGAGTGCTCTACTTTGTGCTAATTAAACAAACATCAATGTATGTCAATAGACTGTACTTAATAAACGATTTAGAATAATAAGTTCCTAGGAGAATAGATGCAAATTTGTAAGTTTTGTTTTTTTCGTGTTATTATCGTATAGCTTAAAAACTTTTCCCATTCGAAAAAAAAAAAAAAAAAGATCACTTACAAATTTCCAGGACGCTCGACGGCTGATACTGGCATCATGGTAAAAGGGCGTGTGTAGATCTGCAAATGACAATAATGGCAATTGAGACAACATGTTCTCACTCAATATGCAAATTGCACAATCTTGAGGAAAAAGGTAACAGCAAAAATGCCTTCATTGGAGTGAAAAAAATGAGTCTAATGTCAATTTTTTGCAGCACTCTTAACATATAAAGAACAGTGGTTTTGTCCCCTACGATATATGGACAATATGTTCAAATTGAAACGTAAATAGGAGATGGCAATTAACAGCCCTTTCTTTTTTAGTACAGAGAGTATATATATATATATATATATTTGAATTTTCACTCTCTGAACAAAAATTATGGGTATGTTACATTGAGAGAGCTAAATTACGTTCTAGAAAATAGCCATATTGTATATTGACTAGGTGATAACAAAGGTGACAATGTCTGAAAATATTTCTATTAACTTCTTAATGCAATATGACAAGACAGGATACGTATACTAACCTCGAGAGTGAGATTCAACGTGACGTCAACCTCCAAAAATGATTCTGAATCATTTGTGTCCCATGTCATATGATTTCTCATGAATGCTGCAAGTATAATTGACGATTACAACCTGGTCATCAATACGTACAAATATTTGACAATATATGAGGAGTTTGAGAAAGCCATGCTAAAGATCTTATGGATCAATTAATGATAACAACAAGGATTTAAAAAGCTAAAAGATATTGAATACAAAACACAATATCTCCCCTTCCACCAAAAAAACTCACTTCTGATTCTGAGGGTTCATTTTCTATAAGATAAAAACCAGTTTTTACAACGATCTTTGTCCAAAAGTCCCAAGTGGTTGATTTAAGAGTTATAACTTTTATGTCATATCCATATACGTACCTGAGAAATGGCTGTTTTGCCGTTCCATGATTTCCGAACCCTCAAACTGCAAATCATAACGATAAAATTTTCAACAAATGAATGTGAAAGTAACCAATTTTAGAAGCTTTGCTGAAAATAGTTCTATGCAATACGTAGATTAACACTTCCTAAATTGTTGACACATATTTTTGAGTTTTCAGTTATAACCTTTGGAAGAAAGAACAGCTAAATACAGAAAAGCTGATGAAACAACAGACAAGACCTAAACAAAATTATACCATTAAGTCAAAACTTGTGGATTATGAAGAGCTCCACCTTCAAAACACGCAGCAAACTCCAAGTTCAACATTTTTGCCAAAAGGGTTAAATTGATTCGAGTTTGCTACAGTAAAAAACTCTCAAAAACAGTCACATTTAATTTTTTTATTATAGTAAAAAACTCTCATATAAAGTCACATCTCAATTCGTATTAAAAATTTGAATCAGCGAACTAAACGGGTCCTCAGAGCTTACTCCACAAAATGTCTACACTTTTGTGGCACCTTGTTTGTCCTCGAAATTTTTCGTTCCTCCTAGCGGTACCACGATCCTACCAAACAGGGCAGAAATTTACCTTACAAGACAGCATTTCGACGGTACAATCATCGTTTGTTGGAGTTACTCGCAAGTCAAGCACTGGAGCTGCTTCGAAGTTCAGAAGTCGAACTCTTTGCAGAGTGCACCTGCAAAAACGTGTAGTTCTTTTCACTGGGGACACAAAAGATAGCTCAATGATAAGGCAGGTTCATTCCTCTTGACCAAGTCTACCAGGATAAAACCACCACAAAATAACTTCTATTTACAAACAAAAACAGCCCTACTCCTCGACCGCATCAAAAATGCTTGTACAATCGCTGATTATCCGATTTGACTTATGCGCCACAAAAGCAGAATGCTTATATAAATATTGTCTATGGGCCTATTATGTTTAGAGGAAGAACAATGCACTTTTAGGAATCACTAGCCTCGTTCACTTCGCGGATTCGAATTTTAATTTAAGTTTAGATGTGACATGTAGTACCTACTCATTAGAACAATCCGACCAACATTCTCTTTTATGATAAGAAAATTATGACAAAACAATTTCATGACACATTATGAAACTAAAAAGACTTTTTCCGGTGTTTCCTCCTTTTTAAGAACACCGGTGTTTCCTCCTTTTTGAGAACACCGGTGTTTCTTATTTTTTAGCCGTTAGATCTGTATCAGAATCTGTCTGTTCTGCATACATTTTTAATTTAGTGTGATTTTAACAAGATTTAACGGCTGAAAAAATAGAGAACACTGGTGTTGTTAAAAACTAAAAAGAGGGAACACCGGAGAAACTCTTGAACCTAAAATATACTTTCTTAGAAGTGAGACTTTCTCGGGTGTTCAACCGTCAGATTTGTATTAAATCTGATTAAAAATTAAATTAAATTGAAAAAATAATACATATCTGATGACTCAGAAGTAAAAAATACCGACATTTAAAAAAAAGAAGAAACACCATAAAAATTCTCTTTAGAAGTTTAAAAAATAAAAATAAAACCTGGGATATAACATTAATTTTAAGTTTTACGGATTTTACGAAACTTTGAAAAGAATACATGAATATATCAATTTTCCATGATGTGTATTACCCTTTTTGATAACTTAAACAAGAGATAGAAAAAACAAACTAATAGATAAGAGAAGGGAAGGAAGGACCTGTAAGTGTTAGTACCAAGACATTGGAAACTTTTCAAGGCATTTGTATTGAGCAAGGCTTCAATTGCAGATGGATGGCTCAAGAATTCACCAATATGGAATTTCTCACTCCCATTTCCATACTCATTACCATAATTTGGCAGCTGAATTCTTTCCTTTTTGGCTGCTGACAAATTTGCTTTCTTTGTGTTTGACTCTGACTGAGTCACATTAGCTACTTTTATCACTCCAAATTTAGTCCTGAAAGAAACCAAAAAAAAAAAAGGAAAAAAAATCCTAGTTATTTCCATAAGTGTGATTATTGCTAGCTTGTGTTTTGTTTTTTCTAGTTCAAAACCCAAAAAATACTTTTGGTTTACTGTGGGAGCAAAAAAGAAAAAAAAAAGAACAAAAAGAAAAAGAACCTGGGCTTAAGCACTGGAATAGCAGAGGATGCAAATGAGGCACGGCCATGCCACTTGGAAGTCAAAATCATTACTTTGATAAAGAACAAATTATTTTAAAGTAAAAGGAGATGCAAATAAGAAAGAAATGGAAACCCAAATGAGTAGCAGCAAAATATGTTGTGGGCAACCAAAGGAAATTGGTCTTTTTTTTAAATAAAAAAAAAAAAGAACAGAAAATTGAGAATCCTTTTCCTTGAGAAATAGAAAAGACAAAAAGAAGAATTCACCGTTTGGTCGCCGAGAAAAAGTGAGAAGGAAACAGGAAAAGTGGTATATTAATTCCAATAAGTTCAAAGAGGAAGTGGAGATTAGTGGTTGCTGAGGAAGAAGAAGAAAGAAGGTGGAGAGAGACTGGTGATGTAGTTAGGGAGATGTTTGTGTTCAATTATTACGGAAATGCCATTGCACTAAGTCGGATGGTCCCACCCAACAAAACAACTCTCCAATCATCTTCAATCTTGTCAGCTCAGATGTTATCCATATTCCACACACAAACATATTTTTACCTTTTTTTTTTTTTCTCTCTCCTGTTTCACATGGGATCCTACTACGTAAAGAGGTATGGTCAAGTACGACTACAGAAGTACCACCGAATTTGGCAATAATTTGAGGCACCACTTTAAAAGAAAAGGGAAAAGGAATTCAACGGTTATAGGCTCTCCATTTTAGAAATCAACACCTCTATCACTTTATTCATATTTTATGAGACATCAATCAAAATATCATAATAATAATAAAAATTTATCGCATCAACGTTATATGATCTCATATAAGAAATAAAAATTATCTATTAATGAGACATATGAGCTCAATCTCCCCACTCTAGCCATCTAGAAAGGACCGGGACTAATGGTTTCTAGAAAAAAATGGATATATAACCGCTTGTAAATTGCACAACAAAACTAAGACACAAAAAATAAGTGGTTTCAAGAAAAAATCATCGATACTAAATTCTTATTGTGCAATTACAATATGATATTGTTACCCGATTAAAAAAACATGAAATAAAACAATCTCATTGAAATGAAAAAAGCCCTCCTGGCAAAAGAAAATTGAAATAAGCTTTGTATAAGAGGATGAAAACTTTAAAGACGGACATTATATAGAACTTTCATTTTCAACATTTAGTGATGCAGGTATACAGAAAATAATCGTTCCGAAATTTGGAGGCCTGAAAATTTAAATCGTCTAAAATATACTCAATTCTTCTGAATAACTCTAAGCTTAGCACTTCGACTCCGGCAGTTTAGTTTCTCCTCTTCTCCAGACGGTGTTATTGGTCTCTTTGTAAGAATTGTTCCTTTACAGCCATGCATCATTTGCTTAATCCAAGCTTCTTTTTCATCAATGTCATTTCTGATCTTTCTCGGATCTTTCTTATAAGCATTTTCACTCTCTGTGTCAACATCTCCATCTCCAACGCTTCTGCCGATGATGTGAAGAAATGTTTGTTTCACAATTCTGTCCTCCAAACTGTGAAAAGAGATGACAGCAAGCCTTCCCCCTGGAGCAAGACAATCGAAACACGCATGGAGAGAATCCTCCAGCGTCTTCAGTTCGTCATTTACGGCTATTCTCAAAGCCTGGAATACTCTGCTTGCTGTCTTAATCCAACCTTGCCTCCCTCCTGTCAATTAATTTTATACTGCACATCATAGAAGTATATCTAGGAAGACATTTTTTAATTCCTACGTGAATATATTTCAAGTCCTATTATGGAAACAGATGATCGCAATGGCAGTATTACTTCTACCTACTATAACTCCAGCCAATTGGCTATAATTTCATCATATTTTCCCCTTTTTACAAACGACACTGTGGTGAAGAAAAATGAGGCAGTTTTACCTCTACTCCAAGAAGTTGAGTTTCGGATAAGTTCTGCAAGCTCCCTAGTGGAGTGCAAACCACCACGTGATCGAGCTCTGACGATTTTATTCTGAAGTGAGTACCAGTTGCTTTCTTGCCCATAATCCCGTAAGATTTTTCCAACTTCAGCATCTGGCCAAGTATTTAATATGTCTTCTGCTTTCAGACTTGCCTGTCATAGACCTGCTCCAATCAGTGAAATGAAAAAGAAATTTAAAATGACTTCGCAGCATATTAAGATGCACATTGCAATCCCTGATTACTTTGCTAGCAGGAATTCAAAAGCAAAGAATGTGAAAAATCAGGAAAATCGTCTTGGATAGTCACAAATATATGACTGGAGAAGTAATGGTCCTCTCAGCAGAGATTTCTATGAACTGGTCTTTATTTATTTTCACTTATTTAGTTTTTGTTAATCAATCCAGTTAGCTGGTCCTTTCATTTATTTTCCAATTCCAGTAAGTCTTCAGTCTTCCCAGTTGTTCTCCAGTTATATGAACTGATCCTCATTTTATTTTCAGCTATTTAGCTCCTCTTAATTATTCCAGTTATGCTTATCATTTTTTTTTTCAAACTGGTCCAGTACTTCTTTTTATATACTTCACGTTTATTTATCTAACATCCCCTAGTATTTTATGATTATCATTTTATTACACTATCTAACAAAACATAGTTCAAAATTTTTCACAAACGGACAGAAAACAAGGGTAGACATTGCTGTCACATTTGAGGGTATTTGGTCAATCAAAGCATGAAGAATTAGTTAGTTCTTTATTCACCAGAACTATGAAACTCCAAATCACTAAAAACCATACCTGAGGATCCATCCGCATATCAAGAGGTCCATTACGAAGAATGCTAAACCCTCTTTCAGGATTGTCAACCTGTTCAGATCAAAAAAATGAGGCTCTTGAAAAGGATGGGGGAAAATGGAAAGAACCAAAATGGCGGATCCTCCATCTTAATAAGTTACCACGTTGACTTCACAGTTGACAGTACATGCCACTTAGTATAACCACCATAGTCCATCCCAGAGAAAGACATACAAAAATATTCACACTTAACTATCATATAGTATCAGACAAAGTCGTGCTCTACATACCAGAAATTTCATTGAAAAAAGAAAAAAAAAAACAATAAGTACAGGTAAGATCAGTAGAGTTTTTGCAGAAGCAAACCTGCATAGATGACATTCCCAAGTCCATTAATATGCCATCAACTCCAGAATCTAGGAGATTCTCGTCAACCTCACTCAGTACAGACTTGATGTGTCTAAAATTCTTCAAAAAGGTATATGTTTTCAGCTCAGTTGGGCCACGAGAATCATTGCATGTGAGGGAATCGATCCGGGCTGCAGCCTTCTCACGTGCCAGGGGATCAACATCCATCCCAATGTAATATTTCAACTCTGGATGGGCTTGAATTATCTGTCAGTACATTACCAGATGCGAAAATTACCATTCTTTAGATGCTAAAGCAACGAGAAAACATTACGAGGAAATAACCACAACAGAACGTTTCCAAATCCAATACAACCAAAAATTCTACCCAAATTTGCTCCAAAAAGTGAGGGATGTCTAATTACCGACCATCTCATAAAATAAATTCAAGTTAATCTTTGTCCAAGTCCAATACAAACCAAAATTTTTTCCAAAATTTGCCCACCAAGGGTTTTCTATTTGCCATCTCGTAAGAACATATTCAAGCTAATCTTAGGCCAGTACCCATATCAATTTTTCTTCTGAAAAGTTGGCTTCTTTGGATGCTTTAAACGTAAACAAAATGTGGTATAAAAAATTCTACATATTTTCATAACATTGGTTATATGCCCCTCATTTTTGCTTTTCTTTGACAATATAGAAAATTATAAAACTAATTCTTAAACATTTATTTCTTAACCTACAGAATCAGCGGAAATACCAGCTAAAAACTAAAGAATATTAAAAGGAATGAAATTACTGACAGCAGAGGAGTGACCAGCGGCTCCAACAGTGCAGTCGACAAAGGACCGAAGCGACGCCGTTTTGGAGGTAGAGAAAACGTCGAGGATCTCGCCGAGCATCACCGGAATATGGCTGGTCGTGTCTCCGAACCTCTGAACCTCGTCGAGCTCGAACTCTCTGTCGGACCTCGTCCTCCGCTTCTCCTTCACGAGCGACGCTTTCTTCGTCTGCTTCCTCTCCGCCGCGCTGGTGGTGACGCCACGCACGGCCACGGTTTGCGGCGCTGCGAAAGCTCTAAAGCGGGGCGACAGTAACGAGGAAATGGAGAACAGTTTCGTCGCCGCCATTGATGAAGAAACTATTCTCATTTCCTAGTTTCTGCTCTGAAAGATCGAGCTTTGGTTGTTTGAGTATTTGTGCCGCTGAAATGACGGAGTTATGGGTTGGGAAGAGCGCCGGCCGGCCGACGGCGGCGGTGGAGGTGAGTGGTAAGGGCTACGCCAGACTTCCGAGTGAAAATAGAAGAATGGGAACTGATAGTGTACGGACTGGCTCGGCTCTTTGTGGAGTCAGATATGAAATTGGGCCGACGATTTAGGCTTGTGGGCTTGCTGGGCTCGCTACTATGAAGTGGGCTATCATTGTCCATTTCTTACGGATAATTTTCACAAATACCCCATGGTATCATTTTAATTTTTAGATCTCAATATTAATCTATTAAATTTTATCCTTTAAAAGTAATTTGACAGATTATTATTAATAATTTGATAAATATTATCAGCAGCGGATCTCTGATAATCAGATTATTATTTAAAATTTAACAAATTATTATTTATAATTTGACAAATTATTATCAAGAGGTAGTTTATCACAATAAAAGAGTAGAACTCTGGCTAGATGTGTTTAAAGGATCAATTTTTGCAATTTTGTCTTTCTCGGGTGAATTTCATTTGTTTTTGGGGAGAGAGAGCTAGATAGCATTTTCTGAAAATATTATTTACCATGTGAATTTATTATTTACTATAAATATTATTTCAAAATGGCATGTTTACTATGGTCATGTTTATTTCACCGATTCGAGTTTTACTACAGTGAAAAATTCTCAGAAACAATTACGTTTAACTTTTTTGCTACAGTAAAAAGCTCTCACATAAAGTTACATCTAAACTCGAATTAAAAACTCAAATCAGTAAACTAAACGGGTCCTATAATTTTCTTTTCCAATAACAGTTTGGTAGTATACAATATCAATAGTGCAATTTATAAAACTAAATTAAATACTAAATAATAAATTTTAAAATATTCGAAGTAAAGCAGTGAAAAGATTTTTTTTACGTCATAAATGCGTAAATTTTCTATTTACGATTAGTAAAAAGATTTTATACCACGTATACTGTTATTTACTTTAAATATTTTTAAAATCCTTAAGACCATCTCCAATGTAAATGCTAATACCAATTATATATTTACCATTAAAAAGGGTGATAATGTATGCTATTTTTATTTTTTGTTCCAATACATAATGCTATTTGAAATGCTAAATCTACTATTTCCCATAATTATTAAGCTTTGAAAATTGTAAAAGTAAATTTTTATGTTTAAAATAATTAGAAAATGCAAAAGTTACAACGATTATATGAAAAATTAAACATTTCAACCAATAAAAATCAAATGTCAAATTTCTCATATGCTATACTTAGTGGGAAATTTGTCACAAAGTAAAGCATATGAAAAATTTAGCACAACAAATAGTGTTGCATCAAAAAGTGTTTTTTACACTAAAATGCTAAATTTATAATTATCACATTAATTATAATATTACATTGAAAATGCTCTTATATACATCAATTAGTTATTGTAAATTTGTTATTTACTTCAATTTAGAGGAATTATTTTCTCTATTAAACAACATAAAATCTAAGTTCTTCATAATATTCATGGTTTCCATGTTAAATACTTAAATTAGTTGGTAAGTATATTATTATTCTAAAACCACTTTACCGCATTAATTGTCAGAGTATACTCTAGTTCCCCACATTATGAAGCCTTGTGAAGCTACAGATGGCAACATGGCTAAATCATTATTTTTTTAGGGTAACTCAAAGAAGATTCTCAGATGCACAATTAAATTTATTTTGGGGGTTTTTTTTTTTAAAAAAAAAAGAAATCTCAACTCCATTTTTATGATGTCACTTTACGATGGTTGAAAGTTATAACGAGCATGTGACGTCACATGACTTATTCTTTTATTTATTTATGTATTTTTTGGTAGAAGAGTATATCACACTTGTCTTAATCCGAGCATTGTTAATTATTTGTTTGCGTATATTTTGCTTAGTACATTAGCAACATTAAATGCTTCTACAAGATTATTTGTTGACATATTTATGTCCAGAACTAATATCGTTGAGCACATCTACATGATATATATATATATATATATATATATATATATATTCCCAGAGGAAGGGCCTCTCAGTAAGGAGCATAAAAGGTCATCCCTTTTCTTAAAACACGCAAAATTTTGTACTCACTTTTTTTTTTCTTTATATATTAAGTTGAAACATATATAGAAATTTAAGAGAGTGACATAAAACTAAAATGGTCATGGGGTACATTCCCTAATTTTTTTTTTTGTTCTTTTTCAATTTTAGAATAATGAGATTACCAACCATAATATGAGAGTGAATGTTTAGGCATGAAATGGAAAGTAAGATGGGGATAAAGACAGAGAACAAAAATCTTGCGGGAATTAGGTGAGATTCAACAGTCTCTATATAGTTTGAATGAGAAATTGGCCTTTGTAGGCAAGAAAATGAAAGGGCACTAGGTGGCGTCAAAAGCACCCATTTGCACTCTGAAAAAGCACGTAATCGAATTCGTGGCGGCTCAGTGATTGGGGTTTGACTTAAATGACCCAATATTTATCTCTATTCCAATCTCACCCACACTAAATAACACCTTAAAAAGTAAATAAAAAATAATAATTAAAAAAATAGGTGAGACAATTTGAATTGCGTTCGTCTTGGTCCATTTAATCATATTATTTTCGAGTCGATAGGTTACATATAGTTTGTCCAATAAAAAGGTCATTAAAATCAGTAAGACACAACTAATATAAAAATTTAATAATTAAATTATTTAATTTAAGAGGTAAAAATTGAGTCTACTATGACTTTTTATTTATTAAAATTATAAATTTAATAAAAATATTTGTCCATAGTTTTATATTTTGATTCAAAACTAAAACTCTTATGAATTAGATCAATTCGAGTCAAATTTTATTTTAAACTTGTCAATTATATCGGTCATATTGTGTAATTATGTCACAACTTGAAATGTCCTGAAAATACAAACTCGTCATTAGAAACTCTTGGTTTATTTTTATTGTTTTTTAAGGTTTTATTGTTTTTTTTTTTTTTTTTTTATTTTAGGACATATGTCAAAATTCCAAATACCAAAATGGGAATGGAGAAGAAAATGTTCTTCTCTTTTAGTTGGCTGGTCAACTGTCTGCCACCTCTTATAAATTCCATTTCAGTTTATTTGTTGCTTTCTCATACTGAAAAAAAATATATATTAATTGATATGCCAATGTTTTTCTAATTGTACTTAAGCAACTGCAACTAGTTTTCTTCCCTTAACCTCAAATTATTTCAATACCTTGGTACACTCCTTACAGCTTTTTAATCGTGTTGGGCAAGCTAGGTCCACTTCCTCAACTATCACCCATCTTTTTCCTCTTAATTGTACTTAAGCAACTGCAACTAGTTTTCTTCCCTTAACCTCAAATTATTTCAATACCTTGGTCCACTCCTTACAGCTTTTTAATCGTGTTGGGCAAGCTAGGTCCACTTCCTCAACTATCACCCATCTTTTTCCTCACCTCTTTTTGAAACGAATACTATAATTGCTTCATACTTTTACCACCCCTGTTCACACAAATATATATTTAGCATTGGTCATTTGGCTCGTTTCTTAAAAAGAAGTTGATGAGCTTGTGAATTAACATGGTTGTGGCTATGGATGAACAACATCAACACCAACACCAACTATCAAAGCCATCATCATCATCGTCGTTATCGTTGTCGTCGCCGTCGATCGAAATAAGAGGAGATGAAGATCTAGGAGAAAGAGCAAAGAGAGAGGAAGATGAAGATCAAGTGATTCTTGATTCACAAGAGAGAGCAAAAGAAAAGGCAAAAGCACATCTCACTTTCTTGGGGAGGCATAGATTGTCTGCATCCATATCTTATCTCAATAACCAAATCAACATCATTCAGGTCATCACTCGCCACCTTCTCCGTACTTGTTTTGATCATATATCAAATGGGGTTCTCTTAATTTTCTGTTTTTTTGTTTTCTTTCTTACAATTTTATTTTTTGTTTTCAATTTCTTTGGTGTTTATTTGGATGTGGAAATGTTGAGATACAAGGAGGGGAGTTTTTTGATTTGTGATGCAGGAAGAGCTGAATGAACTAGAGACAGTAGGTCAATCCTCCATTTTGTGCAAAGAGTAAGCATTCAATCCGCCATTGATTTTGGTTTGGTTTTATGATCAAGTAGATCTTAAAGATTTACAAATTTCATAATTGTTGTTCTCACTTGAGCTTTCCAACCTCTTCTGTCTTTCTGCAGACTTCTTTCAAGCCTTGAAAACATTCCAGATCCACTGCTTCCCATGTAAGAGATTATAAAATTCTCTCACTATTGAATTCATTTTTGTTTAGTGTTTTCGGTAGTAGGCACTCGCTAAAAGTATGCTTTTTTGAACCGTAGATCAAATATAAAACCGAATTTATATCGATTAACTATAGAGATAGGTACACAAAAAAAAAAAAAAAAAAAAAAAAATTTTAAAAAAAAAAAAAGGGAAAAAAAAAAAAAAAAAAAAAAAAAAAATCTATAGAGAGAAGTAATCACATCACTAAGCTACAATTTCTTATTGCAGATAAATAAACATCATTTGTAACTATTCTTGAACTCTTAGGTCTTGATCGATTTACAGATTCGAGTTTTCAATTCAAACTAAAATATGATATTTTTTTAGAGCTTTTAATTATAGTAAAAAAAGTTATATATGATATTTTCTGAGCACTTTTAAATGTAAAAATTTAAAACTAAAAATTCGAATTGATAAAATAAACGAGTCCTTAATTAAAATTTTGCCTTTTGAGAGGAAATTTATATTAATAAACTGTATTTTGCTCTTTAAGACGAACTTCAAAATGAAAAACTGTAGATAAAATTATAATCATATCACTCGCAACGGTTCATATCTAGGGCTTTTATTTACCTTATTTTCGGGGTTATGAAAGATTTTTGTATGGTTTTGGTGAACATAGGACCAAAGGTCCGGCAGATGTCAACTGGGATCGTTGGTTCCGAGGAGTCCACAACTCCCGAGGCCATAAACGCTGGATCTGAGGATACACATTGGTGTCGTTTAGTTCTATTTGGACAGCCAAAGAGTGATTCAATCAATGTTCGCTTTACTTTCAACAACCATTTTGGTTTCATATACGATTACAGATAAAGAATGAACAATCAAGAGCTATTCTCCCGTTTTACTGTAATTGATTTCACATCCACTGATGATTGATGGGTTTAGCTTGACGTTGTAATAAATAATAGCTCGGGTAATAAACTGTGTTTTTTTTTACTACTTTTCATTTGGGGGTGAGCAGATTCAAACTCTAGACCTCAACAACAGAGATAGGGGCATAAATTTACTTCCTGCTAGGCTATGCCTGTCTGCAACCGTAACTCTGGTAGTTATGACCAACAGATTCCACATTCAAGATGTTCAAGTCAAAGTCATGAAAAGGGATCAGCTACAATAGATTTAGGGCTCCGATAGTACACAATGGAGCGGCAAAAGTGGGTATAAACAATCTCAAACTCTTTCTGGCGTTTGATTGGTACAAAGAGAGAGAACTCTCAACAAAATCACCAATTCCTCTTTCCAGAGAGAGAGAGAATTAATATGTACACGTAAAACGGACTTTTAAAATTTGGGTGAGGCAGAATAAGAGGAAGCTGCAACACCCTTAATCAACAACAACAAATGACATCTTGATCAATAAGAGCCCGAATAAGTTTTTGACACACATTTCATATTTCTCTTTTTTTCCTGCCACAGCCAGCAATGCAGAAACGCCCCAAATTCACATTTCTGTATCCCAGATGAGAGCCAAGTTCGTTTATGTTTTACTTTACAACAAACCAGCCTTGTGAAACTTTGAGGAAGCAAAACAAAAAAAAATACTCGCCACAGCAACCAGTCGCTTCTGCCCAAGACAAGAGAAGTAGCCAATAGTTCAAATATACTGCCGGATTTCATGAATAAATAGAAAGATGACATGGCCAGTGATTTATATGCTTGCACAAATACACACGAATACATATGTAGATCCTTGTATTTACAGATATAAAACAGCCATCTATGACAAGACGCAAAACAACCTTCAAAGATCCAGCAACATTGTTTAGCAACCAAAAGAAAAGATCTACGAAGATTTTATCACTAGAAAAATATATAAAAAGTAAAAACATCAAATGTGGTGTCAACCTAATGGAACAAGCTCCCAAATATCATCACTCAAAATAACTACACTGTAGCACCAAAGAAACTGATCTTGCAGAACATAATGGATTTTACTAACCTTCCTCAACTTCAAAGCGAAGTGAGAATAAACAAACTTCGCAGCACATGCATCCATGAAGTGAAACTATTGCTTAGGACAGAACATATAACATAGAAAGTTGGAAAATTAAAGAACATACCTTATGATACAGGTTGTCCAAATGCATCTTGACTATCAATAATCCAAAAGATTATCTACAAAAACGCTGGATATTACACACAGATATTATATAGTGAAAGCGCGTTGCTTAAACAACTTGGGATGAAGTATTAGCAGTCAAAAGTGTCCCATGAAATCCCCCCTCAGTATGTTGCACGTCCATTTTCTCGTTTGAAAGCTCATCTGTTATCATAGAAAAAACAAATAAATAAATCTCACAATGCTGATGAAAATATAACAGCAGCAGCCAAATATTTAAAATAGTCAGCCATAATTGTAAGGTTAGTGTTCCTAGTAATATGTTGACATATATACTCATTAATCTGGCATCTTTATGTCATTTTAGCATAATTCTGTAAAGACTATTTTCCAAAGCAAGAATAATACTTTTTTATCTTACTTTATTTTTCAAATCATTAATTTCCTTTACCCTTACTTAATAGGCCCTCATTCCCTTCAAAAAAAAAAAAAAAAAAAAGAGCCCTCATGAGTTTGATAATTTGATTAAGTATGGAATATGAAATAAAAGTTGACGAGCACTGTAACTAGAGAAATTTATTCAGTAGTTAAATAAACACGTTTAGTTTCCAAAAATACCTAGTGTAAAAAACACTATATACGCCACCTCAAGTGTTTCTTTTATTAGCAAAATAGTTATCTCTATAAAACCCAAAGAGCTAATTACTAGTCTGTAATTAGGCCTTTATTCAGCTTCTAAACTAGAAGCTTGAAAATCCAACCTCTTTTGGAGGAACTTTGACTCAAATCCCAGCACATACAAGAAAAATCCGGTTCTTTTCTTTTATATTGAAAGTATCAGATAATAAATCATAATTACCAGCAATATCACGGTTCTCATGGATTTCTGAATCGGTTACCCAAAGCTTGTCTCCAGGGAATATGTTCATGTCGGCAAGAGTATCAGATTCATTATCAATTACCCGTGTACCTTTGTGAAGTATCTGATTTTCTTTAACCACCTGCAACAGATTGAAGTGGATCTAAAATCAATGCGGGAGCAAAACATGTAAAACACAAAAGATTTAACACACAAACATATATGTATTCTCTCTTTCTTTCATCTTTCTTTTTATTTTATTTTATTTTATTTCATTCTTGTTCTTTTCATTGCTTGAGAGCATGTACACGGTTGATTGTACGCATATGCCCCTTTAGACACGCATACATGGAAGCACGAACTTCAAGTAGCATACCCCAAAAGATTCCCATATCATCATTTTTAACTGGTATACTGATGTGGAGCCGGAAACTTTTAGACTTATTTGATTTCCAGAACTTGTCTTCCTTGAGCGCTTTGAAACTCGTCGATCTGGATCAAAATTGGTCTCAGATGCTTGTAAAATTGATTTCGGAGCTTCCTTCCCACGAATGAAATGGACGTATACATCCTCGTTGCAATAATTAAGTTTCTGCATTAGTTCCAAGCTTTCTCGTTCCCCAATGCAACTCTCACATATCTGGCATAATTAAAGCACAACATTTGCGAAGACATCAACATAGACGGCTTTATAATGCTTTGCAAACTTATAACAAAACCACAATGAAAAAATTCCCATTTTCAATGAAGAAAGCAAGGTTACCAATAAAATTTTTCAGTATGCATACTAATTTGCACATGATAAGCACAGATTTCTGCCTTTATTAAGACACAGACTAACTAGTTCACCAAACGTTTCTGGCATATCAAGTCAGGTAACAACGATGATGAATGTACATTATGGAGGCTAAAAAAAACTAGTTCCATAATAGAACTGAATAAAATTTCACACCCACAAGTTTACACGACAAAGTCTACTTGAGAAGCTTTTCATTGTCAAATTCAGCAAAGAAAGCGAAAACAAATCAACATTTCAGAATACCTCAGGAGAAGTCTTCATCCGGGGTATTCTAGTCTCGTTTTCGTCATTAACTTCGTCAAGATGGCCCTGATCCTCCTCACCCTTTGGCATCTCTTCACATGAACTATCCAAATTACTTCCTGCAGCACTACTAAGCTCAATCCAGGCAGATATGCCTTTCCCTTCAATACCGCCCCATTCTTCACAGAAGCATTTCCAATCATTTTCAGTAATAACAGTTAACCCATCTGTCTGGAGTTCATAAGAAGAAACAACATAAATAAAGTAAAATAGTGGAAGTTGAACAACTATTTTGAAGCAGATAGTAGCCTGCTAACAAACAAAATTAATTCGCATTCCACTAGAAAAAGAATGGGAATGGAAGATTTATATTTATACATCTAGATTTCAAATTAAATAAAACTAGCTGCAACAATACTGTTCAAGACAAAAAGGAATTTTCAAAAGCATATACATATATTTGTTTCATGTACTTACAGCGGAAGACTTTTGGAATATTGAACCCCGTCTCCACACAAGATCTGGAGGTCTTTCTATGAGTAGTAAATGCTGCAAGAAAATGTAAAGACATAAAAACTACAGTCAAAAGAAGTATGGAGCGACGAAAAAAAGAGTTGAAACTGATTTAAGTGACTGAGATAGGTCTCAACAGTCAACAGGTATCCATTCATCTCGGTGTCAATTTACCAGCAGTCAAAATTTGAATAAGAGCTGCTCACAGCCTATGATTGGAAAAAGAGTGGAAGAAGGTCGGGGATATAGTGTATTGTTTCATAACGTTTCATTAATTCCCACTAGATTTGAATCGAATCCACATTACTTTGAGATAGCAAGGGATACTAACAATTATCCAAGTAACAGCGAAACGAATTACGAAGGGAATTGCAAGGTATAGTTTGCAGGCTACCTTTTCACACTTAAGCAAATCAATAGCGCCATCCAATATTTCAGGTTTTGCCGACAATGCAACATTCTTGCCACTGGCATTAATGTAGTTTCTCCATTTCAAAAGCCATGAAGATGGTAACAAGTAATACTTGCAATCAGGAGAAAGCGCAAGGCTTTTCCCCATAGCTAACTTTTCGTGATTCTGGCGCTGTTTGAGCCTCACTATTCTGCAGCAATAAACACAAAGGTCAGAGATCATATGTGTGTCGTTATTCGTCTTTCTATCATTGTTCTCTCTAAACTTGTCTTTTAGTTTTTTATTTGGGTGGGCATCCAGTCCTCCTCACCTTATACATCATTATTCAGTTTGTTTTGATTAAGTTCTGTTTCTTTTCACAAAAACTGGGGGGAAAAAACAAAAGCAAACACACACACACAAAAAAAAAAAAAAAGAAAAAAAGGTGTCATTCTGCATTAGCGAAAAAAAAGTCAAAATGACCTTAAATAATCTTCCATGCATGCTACTTCAGATAGTTCATCACAACACTGGGAACATTGTCTTGAATCTAAAGGAAAAGTCGAACAATCCAAAGGATCATCAGGTTTTACTGTAGTAGCATCTCCATAAAGGAAGAGCCACAGATTCTCAGGAACAAGCAATCTCTTAGCTCCCACAGCCTCCTCGGGCATAAGCTCGCCATGAGGGCACCTTATGGAAACTGTTGGCCCAGCATCAGCTTCGGTTGGAGCATCAAGTATTTTTCTTTTTAACCATTGTTGCAACCTGAAGTTGAGGAGCTCATTAGCATCAGCATAAAAGCTATCGGAAACAAAATATGCATATCCGGAGCAGTGGGAGCATAAAAGCTTTGAAGCCATACCACGCCTTGGAAACATAATATGTTCCATCTTCGCACCTCCCTGCAAGTACATCTTCCGCAATTTGTTTCATTAATGTTCTACGATCCCTGTAGCTATCAGCAGAGACAAGAGTGTGCGCCCCATCCATAAGACAATCCTTGCAGTGGTCATGATTGGACAATTCTGGAACCCCATTGTACTGGAATTACAAGAATGTCATTTAAAATACAATGTCATCAGTAGTTACTGTAAAAGAATTTATCATTAAAATAAAATGTCATAGGTAATGACTGCAAAAGTGTGAATAAGTTAAAAAGGAAGACCATATAGCTAAAAATTGACAGAACTAAGCAGGACAAGCACAGAGGGAAAAAAACAAGTTTATAGCCACCTACAGAAAGAATAAACCTTTTTCCACTTTAGTTTATTTGTAAAAAAAAAAAAAAAAAAAAAAAAAAAAAAGAGAGAAAAGAAAAAGAGATAGGGGAAAACTCAGAGAGTCAACAATTATCAAGTTTCTCCTTGCTAATCAAGAAATGTAACCTTCATTGCATCAAGTTGTTTTTTTTTTTTTTTTTTTTTTGCGATATATGTGTATAAGCTACAATTTTTTTTTTCTTTCTTATGATCATATGCCAGTCAAATCTTAAACAATTAGCTTACGTACCATGTAAAGATAAGCATATAATAAAAACTTGTAGAGATTTGTCAAATAGATTCATCAATTTTTAAATTAAGAAATTAACTTGATTTTTTCAAATTTCAAGTTTTTAATTTCATAATCTTATTTCGGAATACGCATAACAATGCTACTTTATGTGATTACATTTTAATATCTAATTTTTGCGGAACAATTATAAAGAAATATCTAAAATAAATTCTAGAAGTTTTCCTTTTTCATTAGTTATTTATAATTTTTATTTTTATTTGTTATCCACTAAAATTAATCTGCAATTTGTCACTGATCACACACCAATGTTACACCTTAGTACAGTGATTGTTAAATGAACAAATCTCATATATATAATTATCATACATGTTATAGTGTTGGACTATTCTTTCATGAACAACCAAAGACAAACCCTAAAAACTTAGTCAGCTTGTTACTTAAATATTGTTAATAAGATTAATAGCTTCATATAAATCTCTCAACGACCTCCAAAAGTAAAATTATTCCAATACAATGAAATGACATTTTTTTTTTTAGATGTAAATATCATAATGGTTCGAGTTCAATTCTAATTGTAGATTGCATTAGCATACTTAAATGTTTTCAATAACAAGAAATAATTGGACAAAAAAAGTTTAAAAAAAAAAAGGAAAGAATAAAAATCCAGACTGCACTTTAGGGGTAAAATCAACAATTCTCTCCATGAATAATTAGACACTCACGAGCTATAGGTTAAGTATTTACACGAAATGGTCATTTTTGCCTTTCATGTTTAGGATATGTCTTAAATTCAACAATATTATCAATTTATTTATTTTATGGTTACTGATGTAATATAATTTTAAATATATATATATATGTATATATATTTATTTGGGTGGTTATGACTTGTGAATTTGTATAATTGATTTCAAAAGATAGTTAACTACATTATGGGTTATCATTACGGGTTATTTTACATACTTATATGCAAATATAATAACTTGTGGACATTCTTTGGGAAATTTTATTGACACCCTTTTATTTTATGAAGGCACCCCATATTTAGACTAAAAGGGACAACTTAAAAGAAAAGAACAAAATAACATCCCGCTTCTCCAACAGGAGTGAAATATTATATTCTTTAAATGGGGTGCCTTAATGACAAAATAGGGTGTCAATATGATTTCTTTATTTTTTATTTTTATCAAATATCTCTTAAAAGTATATGGGTCAGAATTTTTACTCTTTATTTTTTATTCATAACTTTTATAGTTAAATAATTACACTAATAAAAGAGTATTTATTAAGAATAAGAGATAAAAATTCATGCTAAATTCTCTAATTTTTTTTTCTTTTTTCTCGTCACTCGATAGGGAGCCTCCTGGCCCATACTTTCATCGAGCCTCTAGCTCTGCTCGTCCAGAAATAACATGGGCCCAAATGTAGAACAAAATAGAAATAATTGTTTGGGCCAATAATCTGGGTCAGAAGGGAGACAAGACAACGACATCGCAAGTGGAACCCAGATAGAGAGGCGTCCCAACATAAACTGCTCCCATCCTACTACCAGAGTATGAGAGTAGTATGGTTCAAGTTTCCCAAAGGCCCTGAGCAAAAACACCATATTAATTGATGGGATTTTGGAGAATGACCAAAGAATCAGCCAATAAAAGCTCAGCAGTACAAGGAAAAATCCTCCAAACAGAACATATCATTTGAAACAAAAAGCAACAATAATAAAGAAAATATTATTATAATTGCTACTATTACTAACAACAATAATAGTATTAGTAAATATAATAATATCGATTATTACTATTATTATTATTATCATCATCATCATTATCATCATTAATGAGTGGAAGAATTTAAACTTACAACTCAGCATTATAAGAAGGGTAAAAGCACCATTAGAATAACATGTACTTAAATAGAAGACCTAATTTTGTGTTGATTCTTTTTCTTTGATTTTATCGCGACGTTGAATAGACGCCAAGAGAGTTTATTAGATAAACTGGTTAATACATTCGATTGCCTTGGTACTTTATAGTTAATAATTATACTTTAGTAAGTCAATCACTAATGGAGTTGGACATTATATTTACTTTATCCCTTTTTACTTTTTATAATAAAAAGATAAATATATAAATATATAAAATGTTGCAAAAAGGGATGTGGGTTCTGTTCACTTATGACCCATCATGTGCCCACTCAAGCCACAAACAAAAAGCATATGGCCTGAAAAAGATCAAAAGAGTAGTGATTTTGGTAGTTCAACTAACATTTTTATACGTTTCTTTCAAAAAAAAGGATAATAAAAAAAACGACAAAATTTTTTGTGAGCTTTTTGGAAATGTTTGTGCTCCTAATCTGATGAAGAGTATAAAATTACTGGTTATGTTTCATGTTTATGGATTTCATGCAATGTTTTTTTGGCAATCAACCGGTATATTAATTATGTGCAAGAAAGGTACGTGTTCAAAAATAAGAAGGCCATGGGCAGAATCGGTGGTGAAAAGGTAGTTTACTTAAGTGCCTTTTTTCTTTCAGTTTCATAAGGATTTTGGAAAGATCCAAGTGTTGAGAGCACTAAAACATATGGTTAATGGTTTTATTATTCATAAATATAAGCACGTACTTCTTCCCAATCATAGTTTATTTGAGAAATTTCATTTAACAACATGAGTTTGGAGAAGATCTTATTGGCCACTTTGGTGCTCCGATTTAAATTATTGTCCGTCGGTGCACCTGCAAGAGGCATAGTGTTTAGTAGCTCGGAAGGGGAAAAAAAAGAAGAAGAAGAAAAAAGAAGTTGACTGATTTATACACATTTTACTGGATAATAATAATAATAATAATAATAATAATAATAATAATAAGGATATCATAAGAGCAAAAAAAATTTAATGTTTAGTGAGAGTTATGTGTGTATTGATGTGACAGATTACGTATTTTTTATATACGTTCTTTTAAGGAGAAAAAAACAAATTGAGTAGAAGGCTCAAGCTCTCGTTGAGAAAAAACTGACTTCGTGCATGTCCACCTTAACCTTGTCCATTTTACAATGTTCCTTGACATTCTATGATGGTGTCACATATACAATATTGGTAATCGTTGAGAAAGCTAATTAATTATTTGATGGAGAGCTTTCATAATTGGTATATAATCAAGAATTGAGCTCCGAAAATTTAGTGGAGTAGTCACGAAATTAATAATTAATTACGGATAATCGATTTTCGTTAATTAAATTTTTTCCTATTATTATTGTGGCTAGATGTTCATAATTGGGTCCTCTTCTTAGCTCACAAAATTTCAGAAAACAAATTGGTTGAAGTTTGGATATGCTTGGACAACAAGAAAACGCCTACCTTCCGTACTAGGGCGTGGGCACAATCCCTCTCGAAAGTGCATTTGGCACGTACAACGTCTTTGGCTTTACAAGAGAATTCCCGCGAGAGAGAAAAAAAAAAAAAGTCTCCTCGTCCCTGATCATATTCCAGTGTCTCCACAGAAGAGAAAATCGCAATGCCGCTTGCTCAGTAGGCATAGCTCAGAGTAGGAGTGTCGCGCGGTAAGGTAAGAAAAGTGTGTGCCGGAGAGGAAGCCAAATCGGCTACAAGCTAACATGCGCCGGAGAAAACTAGGTGCTGGAGGTGAGCTCTATTCGGCCTAGAGCTTGGATTCCCCATAATGAATGTGCTAGATCAATTGCCTATCCTATGGTCGAAAAAGTCCCCCAGTTCCTCAGCTGTGTGATTAATAATTTATTCAAACATGTGATAATTTTCAATTCAGCGATTGCCTAAGGCCTCATTCAGTTCAGCGATTCGAGCTGATATGTAACTTAAGGTCCCGTTCATTTAACCATTCGAGTTTAGAATTCTAATTTTGTTACAGTAAAAAGCTCTCAAAAATAGTCACATCTAACATTTTTGCTACAGTAAAAAGCTCTCACATAAAATCACATCTCAACTCGAATTAAAAACTTGAGCCAGCGAACTAAACGGGCTATGTATGAGCTTTTGACTGTAGCAGAAAATGTAGCAAAACTGAAATTAAAAACTTGAATCGGTGAAATGAACGAAGCCTTAATAGTTTGAGATAAATCCAAATGTAATTAAATAATCATTAATAAAGAATCATTCAATTGGAATTGATGACTTATTCAAGTACGTGATAAGTAGAATTGATTAATTGCTCTAGCTATTAACACAAATCAATTATCCTAAATATGAGATACTTATAGTTCAAGTTTGAATACAATTTGAATAGATTTGATAAAAATCCAAATAGAGATAATTATCTTATTAAGTTTGAATTAGATCTAGATAGATTTAATAATTATCCTAGTATGACCAAAAGTAAACCAACAGATATCCAACGGAATCACCCTGCATGACATTTTTGATATCATCAGATGTGTCGCACCACCAAGGACGAGACCTCAAGCAAATAGGGATATAAGAAAAGCAACATGCCGGGCACACTGCCTAAAACACAATTAGCATCCCTACTTCATTCCGCCTTTAGATTCAATTAATATTCTACGCAACAACAAACACTTTTCTATGCCACCATCGCGGCTCAATTGTCGTGAGCTTGTGTGCAAAAATATAAGGTCAAAAGCTCAACGACATACCTAAGAGCGGTGTTGGTGTTAGTTTACCAATTTTCCTAAAAGTTAAAGATATTAGAAGGTAGATCAACATTAGTTTAATATTGTAATAGTCCCCTCACATGTAAAGTTGGACAATGCGCAAACTTAATACATATACTGCTAACATCGTACTGTAATTAGACATTCCTGAAATTAAGATTCTCAAATTGTATACAATTAAAAATTCTTCCACCTTAAATCATGACAAGAAATTATCGACGAAATTTACTTACTCATAAAACATGTACTTAACATAAAATTTACAACAGAATTTAGGACTACTCATGCTAATTCCATGATATATTAGAGAGTGTAATTATAATAGTTTAAATTGTGGCTTTTTAGCTCTATGTTGTGAAGAGTAATTCCTGCGAAATACAACATGCGTTTTGGTCATTCAGGAACTTAATAAAACGCAGTGTAGCATTCAGTTAGACTTCTCAACACGTGACACGTGGCAGGCACTATTGTCGGTGGAGGATTCCAGAATATGTATAGCTGTCCTTCAGTTTGGTGAGACAGAGAGATCAGAAGCTTTTCCTCTAGGGTTTTCAAAGTAAACATTCTAGAGAGAGAAACAAGAGAGAGAAGCTGTGAACATTGAGAGATTTGGGTACGATTGTGTACTAGGAAAGATCAGGGTAAGAGGGTGATTTACTACCTGAGTATATCCCCTTAGATCCACGGTTGTTGTGAGATCTTTGCTGTATAGTTTCTAGATCTGGGTTTGTTTCTTCCTTGTAATCTCTGAAAGAGGTGAAGTTTGAGGGTGTAATCGATTCTCTGTTAGTGGAAGGGTTTCTCGCAAGTGAGCCCAACGGGGATGTAGGATTCGTTAAATCCGAACCTCGGTAAAAATCTTTCTGTGTTCTTTCTTTAAAAGTATTCTTGTGTGTGAATCTTTGAGTTGATGTTAGGATCGTTCTAACACTCTCATACTACGCTAATTTACCAATTCTTATAAAATAGAACAACAATAAAAGTATAAAAATTAGCATAGATTTCATGTATGGTTCTACACAAGATCTTCAAAAGCATTAAAAAGAAAAATTCTCTCTATTTTAAAACTTTTTATTCCATTAGTTCTTACCTTATTTTAAGCCATAACTATCAAGAACAAAAGCAATATGGTTTGTACTTTTTTATTTTTATGTTGACAGTTCTATTTCTTTTCTCTTTAGTGGGGTGGAGATTGCAACCGATGTACTTGACTAGAAACTGAAAGCATAAATCGAAAATCAAAAACGAAAAAAAGGAGAAAGAGGAAAATAGGTCAAGATTTGAGATGAATTAAAATTAATAGGTTAATAGTTTACATAAGTTAATAAACAGGTAAATTACTGTTTTCGTCCATAACTTGTCTGGTTATGAACCATAACTTGATAAGTTATTGTCCATAACTTATCTGGCTATAAACTATAACTTGACAAGTTTGTTCATAACTTATCTGATTATGAACTATAACTTAACAAGTTATGACTTTCTATAACTAAAAATTGGCCTATATGCTTTTTTAAGCTTTTCATATTGACATATTTTCTACTATTTCTGAATAAAAAATAAAATATTAACAAACTGAAAATTACTCTTTTTTTAGAATAATTTAAGGGCTCATTTAATTTGCTAATTTGAATTAAGATGTGATTTTATATAAAAAAAATTTAATATAATAAAAAAGTTAAAAGTGATTATTTTTTAGAATTTTTACTGTAACAAAACTCAAATTTTAAATTCGAATCGGTAAAATGAAGAAGATTTATGAGGACAAAAGTAACTAAAAGTAATTTACAACGGAAGAATTTGTTGTAATTTCATAAGGTGACTTTATATATGCTTTATAAGATATATAGAAATTATGCGCTCACTTCCCAACCAAAAAAAAAGAAGGATAAAGAAATTTTGCTCTTCTTTTTCTTTCCAAATGGTTTTTTTTTTTTTTTTTAAAAAAATTTGTTGTAGAAGTTGAACGGGATGGACAAAGAGATAATTCATCTCAGACGGAAGCGTTTAATTCATGAATTCAGAATCATAATTCATAATTATTCTCGTTTTATGTGTGTTTTTTATGAGAAAAAATACTGTAACGAATTACGAATCATGACACGAATCTCTTTTTTAAACGTCCCAACGTTTTTTTTTTTTTTTTTTTGGTTGAAGGTAGTTGGTCAAATTGATGCTAAGAAACAATATGATTACAAAATATATACCTACCTAGCTCATTCAAAAACCCATGCAAGTAAACACTGAAGAACAAGGCATTAATCAGCAGGACACGAACAGAAAAGAAAAGGATAGATATGTACGTGTGCACACAGTATAATCATTCAATCGTTGAAACCTGCAATTTTGCTTTTCATTCTTTAAATCAAGAACTCAGAGACTTGGGAATTTTTTAGTAATAAAAAAAAAATCAAAGGGGCTCATACACTTGAAAGGACCAATAAAATATACCAAAATTTTGTGACATTTGAGAAGTTCAGATTTTAGGCAACCTAAACTTTAGTCCTCACTACAACAGCCCAAAATATTGTCCCAAAAGCACAGATAAAAATAAAAATTAAAAACTCAACTATTGTACAGGAATATATCAAGCCATGTTACCCATGTCCAAAGGACATAAAGCGCACACATAAAGTTTTCTCAGCCCGGAATCCCACATTTTCTTGTACACCAACCAAGCAAGCATATGAAGCAAACCCATAAAAATTCATTTTCCGGCAAACTATAAGCACCATACCTACAAGCCAAGGTATAGAGAATGCTAGGTGAAGAGAACATCTCAACCCAACCTATGAAGTCCCGAGCGTTTCTCACTCTGCTCCTTGACCAGATAAATCCGCAGCCACCTCGGCCACTTCCTCGTTTTTCTGAGGATCAGCTCTAGTGGTGGCGTTACTTGTTACCACACTCTCACTTGCAGCAGGACTAGTGTTTTTCAACACATCAGTACTTGCCCCACCTCTTATGGAGCCTGAATTAGGGGTACTAGAACCAGAAGTGCGCTCTTCGGACTGTTTTGGCCTGTTTAGGGCTTGACAATGCGGGCAGTAATAAGTTATGTATGGGAAATCTTCCTTCCTAGCAAGTCCTGCACCGAAGATTAAAACATAGTTATGTCTCCAGATACGTGCATATTTATAAGATTTCAAGACTCCTAAAGGCAAAACGAGAGGTGCAGTTATATGAGTATGTAACAGACTCACCATTGTGCATGTGGCAATTGCCGCAAATGAGTGCATACGACTGTGTCGGATCCTCGCCCACAAGTAAAGCTGCAATGCGAGCAATCCATCCTCCATCAATAGTGGAGGATCCTTGAGGATAGTGATGGTTAACAACTAACTGATTATGCTCTGAAGCGTGTGCATCATCATTTAGCGGAGAATGAGGTGTCCCTTCTCCAGAATGATGCATAGGACTGCTCCCAGCACTGGCGGAACCAGCGTGCGGTTGTTTCCTGTTCCTAAGTCCACCGGATTGAACAACTTCAACATCATTGCTCCTCCCCGTTGGGGCATGAAGATTAGATTCATCTCCCACATACACTTTCAGGCCCGAATCTGCACCTAACTTAGATGCTAAGACAGTTGCAGCAGCTGCTTTGGCAGCTGGGTCAGGGTCGTATCTCTGCAAAAAGAAACACACACAAAAAAAAGGAGCTTAGTGTAAGTACCACGTGCAAATGATAAGCTTACTCTAAGTACCATATAAGCTTCAGTATTGACATCATACAATTACATATATGCTCAATGAGAGATGCAAATAACAGGAAAGGACATAAAAGAGCGACAAAAGGGATCAAGAATGAGCAATAGCTCAATGTCCTCTCAGAATAACAGAAACTAATTGATCTTGCAGGATAAAATCTCTTGGCAGGAATTTCCCTTTTTGTTTGCTTTGATTTTTCACAAATTATTTGCTACCATTGTGTTAGACCACTGATTAGAAGCCAATTAGAAAGTTGTCACTGACTACTAGTTTTCTGTCAGCAGTTGGTTAGAATTGGTTTGAAAGAATTGGGAGTATAAATAAGAAATACTAGTAGCTATTGGCTAATGAGAGGTTATCAGAAAAGTAGGGAATTATTTACTTGGCAAACCAAGTTGAGAGGCATAGCAGTTTCTCGAACTACTGCTAGGTTGTATTAGATTTATCTTCTAGGGTTTCTACCTACAAACTCTTCAATAAAACTACAATTTCTCTTGCTATTCTGAGTTTGTGTGATTAGGATCCTATCACATCGCAACACTCAACTGCACAGCTGATAAAGTAATTTTTCTTTGCTTTTGCTATAGTTAGCTCAATCTCAGTTATGGCATTTAAAACTCTTTTCGTTAGAATACTGTTCGCATTAAAAAAATAATACAATAGAAGGCTGAAATGACACCTTTTAAAAGTAAACTCATAACTTCTCATTGCTATATACAATATCCATAGGGATATTATGCCCCTGCACTGGGTGTCACATCACAAAAGTTCTTGCAATTTAAGTAATAACTCAACTGCAATTAAAGTAAATGAAATAGGTAAACGAGAAAGAGATGCATAACAACCTAAACACTTCAAAATTTTGCATGAAACATTGATAGATCAACAAATAGGTAATTAAAATGAATGTATTGAAACAACCATAAACGTGTTTTTAATCACACCTGAATAAGTTGTTGAGTGCTGTAGTAATTTGTTTTTTCTTTAAGCTCATCGATTTTTGCTTGCCTTTCCGCCCTAAGTCTTTCCAAAGTCTTTTGGTCCTTGCGGTCACCTAAAACATGAAGTACCTCATTTATACCATATAAATAATACAAGAAAAAGGCGATTTTATTGGAAACTAAGAATTTTATGACATTTAGCAAAATAGAAATCAATACGGATTGGCACATACAGGAGCCCCCTACTAGACTAGGGTCGTTGATTTGAAAAGATACAATCCAACTTTTGCTAAGAAACGCCAAATCCCAAAATCTTAAGCTGCTAAGAGATGGACAAACATGGGTTTCTACATCCCAACACTCTCACTTCACATGTGGGCACACGTGCACAAGTAGACCTAGATAATATAAACTGAACAAAACGAAACACATGGAAACAAAGGAGAAATTGGGAAGTATAGTCCTAGATATTTGAATCAAGGTTGCTTTCATTCTGTGCTATGAGACCACTGATCACAAAAGCTTAGCAACTAGAAGATAGGACAACATCGGATCTCATATTTTAATAGGAGATAAATGAAAACTGTGAAACGGGTATTAAATAATACTAGATATCAACCTTTCTTTCCAAGGCCTAGAGTATACAATATAAACATGAATGAAAGTTGCACATCAGCATAAACTATTCCACCAAGAAAAAGGAAAGGAAGAAGAAACAGGACACGAAATGAACAATAGACACAGGAAAGCGGTAAAATGTGAATGGCCCAGAAAAAAAATCATAAAAAAGAAACTACCAGTGACTTAAACTAATGCATAAGTATCATATATCAGCCATTAAATCTTAACATGGTCAATAGCAATGTCAAAAAGTTAGCACAACCACTAAAGTTCAGACCATTGTACAGAACATTCTAAACACGAGATTGTTATTACCCACACAGCGATGTCATATTTCAAGAAGTTTTACATCCCAAAAGATGAGAAAGGAAATTTATTATAAGATCATATTCCTGATGTAGGTTGGCCCAATTTTTCGTTCTATTAATTTCTAAATCTTTTGAAAAGCATGCTGATTATGATACCATATAATATGTTTCTAATTTCTGAAAGTGTCCATTGAAATTGAGCCTTTTTTCCAAGATGCTTTTTAAACATATCAGTTTCCTAAGAGCAGGCAAAAAAATAAGAATATTATGAAATCTGAAAACTCAACAAAGAAACAAGCTTGAAACGAACTATAAAAGGGGCTAAAACAACATGAATCTTGTCAAAACACAAGCACTCACCGATGAAACAAAAAACAAAAGACATAAGGAGGAAAAAAAATACGGTTACAAGGAGATACTAGATAAATTGGAGCTATCAGATTAACATGGACACGGAGGTACTGAAAAAAAAAGGCTAGTATTTGGACACTTACACATCCTAGTGAAGCTTATGAACGTTGTATAGGCAAGAGAAGAGACAGCAGGCAATAGAAACATTGGCAAAACTCGAAATGCTCTCATCTTCCAATTCAAATCCGTTGATCTTGTAGTTATAATAGCATAACCCACTGCAATAACCTGAAAAACAAAAGAAATTTACGTTCATTGTGAAGAAAAGGAACAAAATACAAAACACATAAACACATAAACAAGAATAACAAACATAAGGTCAGTTGACTGCAGTGACATTCCTTACAATCTTAGAAAAATATCAATAAACCTGCCAGTGTCACATTTGCAACCCATAAGGATTTGGTAATCCTTCCTGCTTGGTACAATGCACGGAAATCAAATTACACGGATTTGGTAAAGAAGTCACCACGCTATGTAGCATGGCAGAAGTAAGATATTTAATGCACATCCGCAGTTAATCCCTAAATTTCCAGTAAGCAGAGCAAAAACAAGAAACAACCAAACTTTTCTAAGAAACAACCAAACTTTTCTAAGAAACAACCAAACTTTTCTATCTCTATCGCAAACTTTAAGGCCATAAGTCTAAGCAAAATACTATTGGGAAGTGAGCCACAAGGCGCTGAACTTTCTGTGAAATCGAAGAAACAACCAAACTTTTCTAAGAAACAACCAAACTTTTCTATCTCTATAGCAAACTTTAAGACCATAAGTCTAAGCAAAATACTATTGGGAAGTGAGCCACAAGGCGCTGAACTTTCTGTGAAATCAAAAAACCATGGTAATTCAATATTATAAGCCAACTCTAACAAATTTCAGCAAAAGCATATGTAAAGACAAAATGGTACCTCAAAAATGACAGAAAATATGATAAGGTGCCTAATCATGCGTCTCCAAGATTGCGACCTCTTCTTCATTCTGGCAAGGACAGTGGCTTCTTCCTTAGAAATGTACTGAAGCCGCTTCTCAAAGTCGTCCCCGTGTATTCTAAAGATTCCATTCCAAATTCTAGAAAGAATGCCGTTCTTCTTCTTCTTTGTCGTCGCCTCGCTTGCAGGAGTACCTTCGTCTTTCTTCTCAACTTCCAGAACACCTTTATCTTCTGCCATTTACTCTTCTCCCCCTTTTTAATTTTAGCCCAACAAAATACACAAAAATCAGCAACAGAAAAGTTGGGTTGTTTCTACATATGTTACGACTCAAATAAGTTCCCAGTTGGGTTGAACAATTTGTATTGTGTGATATCTCTCAGTAATTCAATCAACAATCTTTGTCCTTCCAAAACAACTACAACAACAAAGGAATACAGTCTCTTCCTTTTTAGACCAACACAATACACAGAAGAATCCCAACTAAAAATGAGCAACAGAAAAGGTTTTTTTTATTATTATAACGTTTTAATAAAGTAAGTTCCTAGTTCGATTGAACAATTTGTATTGTCTAATATTTCTCAGTAATTAAATCAATAATCCTTTTCCTTCCACCAAAAAAAAAAAAAAAAAACAACAACAACAACAAAAGACAGCAGTTTGAGAAGCACCATGAGCTCCACCTTACATTTTCAGTCACATAATCCCTCTCTATTTTTTTTTTTTTTTGAGAGTAAAGTATCAATGTTAAAAAAACATTGAAAGGATTGTTGATTAAAATAGTAATAAGATTTAATATAAGAGAGGGAATACGTGACTGAAAATGTAAGGTGGAATTAAAATATTAAAAAGAAATTAAAATATATCTTTTAAAGAATTATGAAGATGAGAAAGAGTAACTTATGAGGATTTTTTTTTTTTTTGAAGGACTTATGAGGAAAGTTAAGTAATCTAGCATTTAGAAAATCATTCACTTTTCTATTATTTAAAGATAAGAACTAAACATAAGAATAAGAAATTGCCATCATAATAACTAGATAATATGAGTAAAACTTTAAAAAAAGAACTATTGAAACACCCATAAGGGAGACTATTTAAGCTCTTACATGAAGAGACCGGTGAAACTCAAGAGGAAAGAATATTACACTGACGAAAGAAAATTGTGATGTACGAGAATAATATCAATTGTAACAAAAGAGAGAGAGAAAATCTAAGAGTAAAGTATAATTATGATACAAGACAATGGCATAGGTTATTACATACAGATAGATAACAACATGTGTAGCAGAATGTGAGTCAATTGGAAAAATCAATTAGGTAAAGGAACAAGCATAAAACCTTGGCATAATGCAACAAGTGCAGAAACTAACCGAGGAAAAACCCATATAAACAAGGATAAACTCAAGGGTATTTCAAGAAAAAATGCCATACAGTGGGAATACATATGGATTACAAAAGAAGCTCCAACCAAATCTAGTTACCAAACAAAGAAAGAGGAAAATAATCGTAATCTATACAAATCATCAAATGCTTAATACAAACACTTGATAGGTCCATGTCGATACTACTATACTATTATAGTATAGACATAAATTAGTCAGGAAAACATAAAAGAAATTGTAGAACTTCACTACTTTCTGAAGTAACGGGAAGATAATCAATACATCATACTAACACAATCAAATTATGCAAAGTAGTGCCATACTCTAATTGAATTACCCAAAGAAAAAACAATTTTACATAAACAAATTTAGTTCTGAATGTCAAAACATATTCTTAAAATAAAGCAAAATATGAACAAAGCGACGATAAAATATTATATATATATATATATATACACACACACACATACATATATACATATACACACACTTGTAAATCCATGAGATGAGACTAAAACCGAGAAGATCCAATTAGTGAATAAAGGCAAATGCTGCGTTAGAACCATATAAAATCAACTTCCAATCAAGGGAGATCGGAGATACCAAACAAGAGTTGAACACAACTTTCAAGATGGGAGGTTCGTTGAACTCGTCAATTGAAAGGTAAAAGTAGCATATATATTTTCCATAGGCAGGGAGAAGGGAAGACAAAATTAATTCGATAGACAGAAAAACCACCACAAAGGTTATAAGAAAACGGTTACAAATGATTCAAATATGAAAGAATTAAGGTTACATAATACACTTAAAAAGAGAGAATTTGTTAGATTTCCCAACCAAACATATCGAAAGTTTCAATAAAAACAGAGAGAGACCTTTTCGGAATAGAGGCAATCGAAGGAACGCAGGGACCAGAATGAGAGCAATCGAAGGTGGCGTTACTTCCTCGGGGTTTTTTTGAAACTCAGCAGAATCTACCCCCAATTCTTCCGATTTGGGCGTGAGCGGAAAGTATTATTCCGAGATCAAAGACGACAACTATACCAGATTATTAGACGAGAGCAGCGAAATCAAAGAAGAAGATTTGCTGCTGCTGTATATGTAATGGGAACCTTTGTTGTTGTGTTTCTGAGTTTGGCTGTAAATGTAATGGGAACCCTAGCCCCCCATCGAAAAGGAAAACGCCAAACGGGAGTTAATGCTGATATATATCAAATAATCTTATCGAATTCATGTGCGAGAGAAATGAAAATCAACTTCAGAAAACCCTCATCTCTCTTACAACGTACATAAAAACAAAAAAACAAAAAAAAAAACACTAATCCGAGATCGTTCAAGTTAAAGAGCAATAGGGAATCCTATCCAATGCTTTCCAAAAATTAATACAAATGAAGAAAACTACCTCAAGAAGAAAGTGAGATTCGATCCGGTTCAATTGAATTAATATTTCTTTTCTTCTTGTTGCTGGCGTCGGATCTCAAAACAGCAATGATGATGGAGAATGGGAAATGGAGTCCGTAAAGGCAACGCAAAGCGAAAACAAGGATTTTGGCGATCGAGAAAGTGAAGGAAAATGAGAATGAAAATTGATTGACTGATGGGAAAATTTTCAATTTTCAAGGATATAAATTAAAAGACGCGGTTTTTGGAAAAGAAACTGCGCACGAGGGAGGCGACAGAGAAAAGACGACCAACTCTTCCTCAACCGCTTTTCTGACTTCTCCTTTCGGTTTTAAAATCCTTTTCTTTCTACAATGATTTTTGTTATAAATTTATAAAGCTATCCAACCGGAAAAAAGGGGGAAATTTATAATAAGTTTAAGCCGTTAGATTAAGGGTTTGTTTGGTAGAGGAATTCGTTCTCTGATTTGAATCATGATTCATGGTTCGGTACAGTATTTTCTCTCACAAAAAATTTACGTAAATCGAAAATAGTTCGAATCACATGATTTGAATCCTCCAACCAAACGTCCTCTAAATCGTAATCACCGTCTACGTCTAGTGGATGGGAGTCTTGATTGTTGTAACTAAGATTTTAAATTTGAGTTAATCCTACCATGATATTTGTGGTATATTTTACAATTTTTTTTTTTTAAGTTTGAGCTTAATGGGTCATAGTTTAACGGACCAATAAAGAGTTAAATATCTTTGATCAAAATTGGTTTTTACTTTCCATTAGTGTTTCAAATTGATCTTTATCTCAATTACGAGATTTCAAATTAATTTAATCAACTGTTGATTAGTGGTGGAGAATTTCACGTCTTAAGTGTTTTTTTTTTTTTTTGTTTTTTTACTTAGAGTAGGAAAATTGAAACACTAGTTTTGTTAGTGAAAGTGGGTGTGAACTTATTTTATTGTGCAATCACGAGTATGGTAATTTATCCTATTCTTTGATAACATCAACCATTTCTATTCATTTCCATTATTCATACTTTGAACGTTTAGTTAATAAATTTAGAATTATGATTCAAAATTATTCTTAATTTACATGTATTTTTTATAAAAAAAATACTGTAATGCATCACGAATCATAATATGAATTCTTGAACAAACCATATAATTTAAAATTATTTTTAATTTATGTATATTTTTTATAAAAAAAATACTGTAATACATCACGAATCATAATATGAATTCTTGAACAAACCGGACCATAAAACTACTAAAAACGAAGGGAAACAAAAACAAAAAGAGAATTCAGTTTGTTCCAATGCCACGGGCCACTTCACCAATCCCAATACTGGCGTCTATAAATATTTTTCTATTTGTTACGCGTATTTTAGGTGTCGCCGTGTCGGTTAAAAAATACAACAATTTCTATTAAAAAAAAGAGACTGTTGAATCGTCATTGTAATTTCCTTCCGTCCGTCCATAATTTTTTTTTTTTAAAAGAAAACATTACATATATTTATCTCGCGTGTTCGTTAATTTGTTTGGGTTGTAAAATTATGAGGAAAAGAAATTACTTTATGTCCTTTGCCTAGAGGATGAGGAAAAGAAAAGAATATTCACCTTTCGTGAGAAGCAAACACTCAAAAAATAAAAAAAATAAAAAGATATCTAGTTTTCTTTCCAACTGCAAATACTTGTTTTGGAAGATTCCAGATTCCAGTTTAGATCTAGGAAGAAAAGTTTTCCTTGCTTTTTCCGACCCTCTTTCCTACCAAAAGCATTGTGATTTCGGCTTACCTAGTTTAATTGAACAGCCAGCTTAGGTTGTCAAATTAAGTGGAATTCATGCATATACTAAACATTGACCCGATTATGTTAGAGCATCTTTAATGCAATATTGGTTCTTAATAGTTATGATTGAAGTGGAATTCATGCATATACTAAACATTGACCCGATTATGTTAGAGCATAACATTGACCCGATTATGTTAGAGCATCTTTAATGCAATATTGGTTCTTAATAGTTATGATTAAAAGTAGATATAACATTTAAGTGACATTATACATTGGAGCGCAACATATAATAACATAATGTTGTAACTATTTCACAATTTTTGGATGGTCTTGCAATTTTGCAAGAACGGCATAAAAAACCTGCCAAGCAATCTTCCTTAGTATTAGGAAAGTCAGTTTGGAAAAGCAACATAATAATAATCCAAGGATTCTCTCTCATCGTCCCTCTTTTGCTACTTCCATGTTAAAGGGACAAATGTGTAACCAATTCTTTGGCCTGCATAGTAGTCACTATTGAATAGAGAATAAGCTCCAAAATTGTAGGAATTCTTGTGATGATGAACAGGAGATGAAAAACTGCAAGTGCTTGTAACTTGCAAGTGGCCAAATGATCTTCTATTAGCTTTTGCTGTGCATGGTTGGTGCCAGTTTCTTGTCTCTTGGAATAAACTTCTGCAAACAATAATTACCAAATCTAAAATAAAGTTTTTGATGTTTACGTCTATCTCTGGTGTCATAAAAGTCCTATAAATGTAAAACTTGGCCACAAGAGATACACCGAGGTGCACTATCAATCAGTCTTTCAATGCAAGAAACACGGCATGATATGTAGCTCGCTAGCAAAATTAAGTTGCGAAAGGCCAGAAACGCAGGACATGCAGGAACTAATCAAGGATATTTAGGAACTAAGTAGCAAAACGCGAATAAAACAATTGTAGACACATACCTCATGGAAAGTCCTTGAAGATTTCCTTGCGGCACAAAATCCCACCAGCAGAATGATTACTTCAAACTCGGCGACAACAAATATGACTTGCAACCCAGAATGCCATATTTCCAGAAGAACACGTCCTGATATGCTTATGTGCGAGTTAATGTTTACTGTTGAAGAGAAACTCATTTTTCTCTTTCCGACCACACTTTGTAAAGGTAAAATGCCATGTCAAGCTTCTTCATTTTGCAACAGTACTTGATAAGTATCTTGTACGGAACATCATCAATTGGCGGACCAGAATCTAGTGCCTTTGCAAATAGTTTTTCTGCCTCATTCAAGTTGCCTTTCAGACAGTGACCCCTGATAAATTCAGTACAAGTTATTTTATCGGGTTCATATCCCGTTCTCTGCATTTCATCGCGTAACTCAGCCGCAAAATGAAGGTAGCCTGACCTGCAAGCCGCACCTATCAATAAATTATAAGTGACCATGTCAGGGGAAACACCAAGACGAAGCATATCCTGTTTGAGTGAGCATGCGTCAGCAACATTTCCTCCCTTTACCAGTGCATGAATCAATGCATTATAGGTGTATACATTTGGTCGAACACCAAAAGACAACATCTGATCTATGATCGAAAATGCTTCACTAACATCTCCGCATCTTCCATAACAACCAATAATAAGATTCCATATCTGAGTGTCAGGCACCATTGACTTCTCCAGCATAGAACGAAACAGTTCATTAGCTCTAACAATAGCGCCATCAATACATAAGCCTTGAATAATCAGTTTGTATGAAATTTGATCAGGAACAACTCCAGTTCTGGACATAACATCATGGACATGGGAAGCCTCCTCGGATTTTCCTTCTTTACAAAGGCAACTTATAAGTGCATTATAAGTAAAAACGTCAGGAGTTAAGCCTCTTTTAATCATTTCAGCAAAGTATCCATAAGCAGCATTCATCTCTCGACTCAAACAAAGCCCATTGATGAGAACATTATAGGGAATAACATCTACTTCGGCATCTGTTTTAACCACATCATGCCAAAGACTAAGAGCCTGCAACATATTTCCGTTCTTAAAATAACCATCCATCAGTGTAGTGAAGGTATGTAAATCTGGTTTGCTCTTGGCATTCTCATCGTTCAATATATTTTGAAGAAGCTTCACAGAATCCACCAAGAGGCCTTTCTTGCACAGTGCCTGAACAAGTATGTTATAGGTAATTCTATTTGGGCTAATACCACTATTAGCCATAGTCGAGAACAGATACAGAGCTTTATCCAAATCATTAATGAGGCAATAACCCTTAATAAAAGTGTTGAAAGTCGCACAGCTGGGAGAAGGACCAAATTGTAGCATCTCCTTAATTAGCCCATCTGCCCTCTCCAAATCACCAATTTTGCAGAGCCCATTTACAAGATAATTGTGTGTAAATATATCAAGGATGACACCTTTACGCATCATTTTTCTCCGAAGCCATAGTGCAGTTCCCAACTTACCATCAACACACAAATCCCTAATTATCGTGCCATATTCTTGGTAGTTAGCGTCCCTGGTCCACCCCAAAGAAGCCATCTTAGGCCACGTTATGCTCTCCCTGCAAAATTTAACATATAAGCATATAAAAAATTTTCCATATAAGCATATAAAAAATTTTCAAACGCTGAAGCTACTATGTAGTCTGAAAGGTAATAGCACTAATTTGCCTCTCCCTCCAACCACTTACATACAAGCAAAAAATTGGGGGCAAAAAAGAGAGCCACTGAAACATGAAATGCAGCACGAAGTTTTAGATCTACAAAGGTGAGAATCATGATGGTTAAAACTCACAGAAACTGCATGCAGTCACAGTTGAGATGGATAGGCTGTATATTACTATTCAAATAAGCAGGTGTTTTTTTTCTTTCGTTTTCATAAATAATGAGCAAAATACAATGTTGTCCATATGAAACTGAATAAGAGGGGAAAAAAATAAAAAACGTTTTAAAGGTCTCAAAGAAAACTATATTAACATTCTAACAAGTCTCGATCTCTCAGATAAGTGAAAAAATGTGAGTCTAACAGAACGCTTTACAACAACACCTCAAATAGGTAAATAAACCACCACAATGTCGTAGCCATGCTGTTTAATAAGGAAGCAGCTGATATCCCCATATTATCACAACAACACATATGCAACGCCATCAAAATAGAGCACAACTAATATTCTAATCTCAAAGAGTGAGGAAAAGAAAAATGAAAGTTACAGCTTACCTCATTGTTTTTAAATGGTCCAAACTTTCCTTTAGCATTGAATCCAACACATTAAAAACTGCCTGTGGATCTTGTTCACCATTGACATCATTCTTTTTTGGGAACAACTCTTCGGCACCCAACTGGCAATTCTCCCCCAATTTCCCAAGAAGCTCTTCAAAACTAGAAGAAAAGAGATCCACGTTCCCACAAGTTGTTCACATATATATCACCAAACATGGAAAAATCATACTAGGATTATAAAGATACTAAAAAAACCCACTCGGGAGAGACTAGAACCATCTCCGATGCATATGTAAATGTCAATGTTATAATTACCACTAAAAAGCGTGGAAATGGCATATTTGATGTGTAATTGTATTTTATGCTCCAATGCCTAATGCTATTTCAAATACTATAGTGGCTTTTGTCATAATTATTAAGCAATTTAATTTATAAAAGTAAACTCTTAATGTTAAATATTTTGAAAATGACATCGTTGTAACTTTTAAAAGAAAAATTTAAATGCACCAACCAATGCAAAAATTTGACATTGCATTGGAGAATGATTTTTCCGCTCTAATACCGAAATATGGTATGCCAGATCAATTTAGCATTGCATTGGAGATGCTCAAAGCATAAGTAAAACAGGGAACACAATGAGAAACATTATTGTGAGTGACTGTATTAAAATAAGCTCATTTTGTTCAGGAATATGTATTAGAGGGTTTTCTACTAATAAATTATCCAAAATTATGACTGCAATTAAATCCATCACCCACATTTGTTTTGTTTTTTTTTTTTTTTAAGTGAAAGATGGGATTTTCCCCCATTTCCTTTTCTTTTCTATTCTTCTGAGGTTTCTCGGCAACCAAACAGCCATAGAAAGAATGAAACATGAGTAAAATACCTAGCATCCGCGACGTTGTTACGCCGGCTATAGAAAATGTTAGCGAAGATCTGAGCGATATTGTCCTTGATGGAGTCCACGGTCCGATTCAGAGTTCGTAAGAAAGAGATATATGACGGCGAAGATTCTCCGCAGACGATTGCGAACTGGTAATTCGACACGATATACAATCGCCGGAAATCATCAAACATACAAATAAGACACGAAAAAAAAAAAAACAGAGAGAAGCTTAGTAGAGAGATTAGGGATTTGACTGACCGCCATTGGAATTCTAGCTTTGTTTCTTCAATTTGGGATGAAATGAAAGCTTTCGGATTCTGAAGAAGAAAAAGACTCTCCTCCACTTTTGTGTTAAGGCCTGGCTGCGCAACAGCGGCCTCCGGGCGCTTCAAATCCGAAGATAGCACATTTTCCAAAACTCTTCCCGTGTATACGACACGTCGTTTTATATTCAATGTACGTAATGATAATTTTTCTTCCTAATTATTTATAATTTTTATAAGTTAATTGGTCCTTTTTTTTCCTCTAAATAAACAGAGGGCAAATGAAACAAACCAGGAAAGTAGTAGCACATGCTTAACAGAAAAAGATAAAACTACCCAAAAAAGTAAAATGAAATGAAATATTAGTAATTTGCATCTTGAAACTCTTTCCACTTCGAATGTGAAGAATATACCTCTTAGTTTTTTCTCTTGAATACGTTCATGCCTCATGGTCTTGCAATTAATCCATCTTTTCACTTCATCTAATCTTACAAATTTACTTCTGAATGTCAAAACATATTCTTAAAATAAAGCAAAATATGAACAAAGAAACGATAAAAAAAATACAGAGACACAGACACACACAGACGTACATATATACATACGTACATATATACATATGTAAATCCATGAGATGAGACTCAAACCGAGAGGATCCAATTAGTGATTAAAGGCAAATGCTGCGTTAGAACCATACAAAATCAACTTCCAATCAAGGGAGACTGGAGATATCAAACAAGAGTTGAACACAACCTTGAAGATGGGAGGCTCGTTGAACTCGTCAATTGAAAGGTAAAGGTAGCACATATATTTTCCATAGGCAGGCAGAAGATAAGACATATATATTTTCCATAGGCGGGCAGAAAAACCACCACAAAGGTTACAAGAAAACGGTTACAAATGATTCAAATATGAAAGAATTAAGGGAAATGGATATTTCTTTTCTTCTTGTTGCTGGCGTCGGATCTCAAAACAGCAATGATGATGGAGAATGGGAAATGGAGTCCGTAAAGGCAACGCAAAGCGAAAACAAGGGTTTTAGCGATCGAGAAAGTGAAGGAAAATGAGAATGAAGATTGATTGATTGATGGGAAATTTTTCAATTTTCGAGGTCTTTATTTATTTATTGATATAAATTATGCGTTTAGTTTAGTGTAAAAATTCGTATCATGATTTCGTAATTTATTATAATATTTTTTTATAAAAAATATATATAAATTAAAAATAATTTTAAAAACATTCACTAAAAGATGCTGTTTTGGAAAAGAAACTGCGCACGAGGGAGGCGACAGGGAGAAAAGACGACGAATCCCTTTCTTTCTACAATGATTTTTGTTAGAAATTTTTAAGGAGTTATTTTTTTGTATTTTTGAGTTAAGGTGATTTGAGTGATGATTTTGAATTGATTTTAAGTTAAGTTTGAGTTATAATTTGAGTTAAAGTTGTAACTTGAGTTTGTGTTTAGATGTGCACATTTGAGTTATAATTTGAATTGAGAATCTTTTTGAGTTTGTGTTTAGATGGGTCAAAATTTAAATTTGTATTTATATAGTATTTTAATAAAAACTCAATAGTAATGAAAAATTTTAATAGGGTATATGGGTAGGATTTTATTCGTCTTTTTCATTGTGAATGCATAGAATAAAAATCATCTCAATCAGAATTAAAACGAAAAAGTTATGGCATTTTTAAAAATAGAAAAAATATTGTTCATTAACTTGAGTTTGAGTTTATGAACTCGAGTTGAAGGGAAAACTTGAACTCGAGTTTAACCCCAAACTCGAGTTTAAACTCAAGTTCAAACACAAATTTTACAAAAGAACATGAACTTGAATAAAATTATAACTTGAGTTCAAATTTTTTTTGAGTTTTATTGTAAAAGAACAACCCCTAAAACTATCCAACCGGCAAAAAAAGGGAAATTTATAATAAGCTTGAGCCGTTAGATTAAATCGTAATCACCATCTACGTTTAATAGATGATAGGCTTGATTATTGTAACTAAAGTTTTAGATTTGAGTTAATCCTACCATGATATTTGTGGTATATTTTATGACTTTTTTTAAGGCTTGCGCTTAATAGGTCGTAGTTTGATAGATCAATAAATGAACATTTAATGGATGAATTCAGAATTATAATTTAAATTATAATTTAGAATCAATATTTATTTACAGTGATTCAGAATTAGTATTTAATTTGAATAATTTTAAATCATTATTTAAAATTTAATGTGATATTTTAAATTAAAATCACTCAAAATTATAGTTCGAACTTTGCAATGTCGTTACACTTGTTTAGTTTTTTAT